AGGGATTAGGGCTTAGGGATTAGGGTTTAGGGTTCAGGGTTTAGGGATTAGGGTTTAGGGTTCGGGGTTTAGGGTTTAGGGTCCAGGGTTAGGGTTTGGGAAATAGGGTTTAGGGTTCAGGGTTCAGGATTTAGGTTTTAGGGTCCTGCAGGGTTTAGGGCTTAGGGGATTAGGGGTTACGGACTTGGGACGAGATTAGGGCTTGGGTTTCGGTTTTGGAATTGGGGGCCTGCAACCTCGAAACCTAAACCGCAACAGTCCCAAACCCGGCCCAGAAGGCTGGGCATTGATGATGTCGCTGACATAGCGTTGGGATGAAGCGCCGACGTCTTCTCTGCTGTTACCTAAACCCTAAACCCTAAACCCTAAACCCTAAACCCTAAACCCTAAACCCTAAACCCTAAACCCTAAACCCTAAAGAGTACATCAGAACTATTTCCTGCTTCTGGGTGGGGGGGGGGCCGTTTCTGCTCTGCACCATGAGCCTTCCACCTTCTTTGGCTGTCGGCCTCCCCGCTCAAAGCGAGAGCTAAGTCCTAGGCGAAGCCTTACCCCCCAAACCCTATCCGCTCCACAACCCTAATTATTCCCAAAGCCCGTTCAAGAACTTGCCAGGAGCCAAACACCTAAGAATCCGTCACAATGCTCTTAAGTTTCCACAAGCGTCGTGGATCAGACAATGTTGAAGAGGTCCACCTAGGACCCTTATAAACCCGACTGCCTACAAAACATGTTAAACATGATGGAACCGTAGGCAAACCTGGTACACACCCATTACAAGAGAAGGAACGCCTCGATCTTGGCACCCAGATCGCCGATGTTAGCTTGAAGGTTTCCTAGGCGTCGCAGGACTGTGAGCTTACAACTGCCGTTTGCTGGGTGCACAGGTAGAGGATTAAGGGAAACACCTGAACCATCAATCTCAACACCTGAACCCTAAACCCGAAACCCTAAACCCCCTAAACCCTAAACCCTAACTGAAGCTGTAGAAGGCTTAAGATTTCAGGGCGTTTCTGGTTGCCCCGAGAGGCTTCGAATGGCTTCGAACATGCGTCTACGTGCCCTTTTACGGGGGGTTTAGGGTTTAGGGTTTAGGGTTCTCGGTTTAGGGTTTAGGGTTTAGGGTACCAAAAACCCTACATCCAACGGGGTTCAGGGGTTCAGGGTCTAAGATTGAGGGCTTACAGGTTTAAGGTTTAGCGTTGGGGGTCCAAGATTGAAGTTTTACGGGGTTTGGGAATTCATGGGTTTAGATTGAAGGTTAAGCGGTTTAGGGTTGAGGGTAAATGCAACCGTTTGGGCTTAGAACGAGCTAGAGTTAGCTGTAGATTTTCAAATTTAGGGTTAAGATTTGGGGCTTAGAGTTTAAAGCTTAGCGCCAAGAACCGTGCAATCAAAATAAGCTCTAAACCGGGAGCCAGAATGCCTAAACCTCTGAACCGCACACCCTCCGTGCTTTCGGTTTTACCATCAACCATGCGGCTGGCTGTTCAGCCAAGTGGCCGAACATCTCGTCCTGTGCCAGCTTGGCCTCTGCTTGCGCCTGCCAAACCATGGGTTTAGGGTGCCTTTCAGGGTCCTGTAAAGGCCCCTTGAAGGGCCCTATACGGCGCACTACAGGAGGCCATATCTTCGGGCACGGGAAATCTTGAAACGGAAAAGCTGATACTACAGAAAAAGCCGTAAGAGAGGCCAGCAAATCTCCACAATGTGCACAGCCAGCATGATAGGCTTTCTGGCAACAACACCAAAATAATCTTCCTTCTTATATTGACGACGGGAGGACCTACATCCTAAACTATATAAAATAATCCGAGACTCTATGCCCCAAAAACTACAATCTCTGGTGCGGTAGCCTCGCCCATGTCTTCACAGCGGCGCAGAACCTCCGCCTCAATCGACTGGACATCGTCCTGACCGACGCTGCAGGTTGTACTTGGAGGATCAGAGGACTTGGTAAGCAAGGTCATCAAATGTCATAAGTACCTTAAGTGGGGTTTTAAGTAATCACATATTAGTATATGCCCCATGATCATTGATTTAGATGTTCATGAAACTGGTTTCTAAGTAATCACATATTAGTATATAAGATACACTATTTGCAACTCCAAGTACTACGTCCCATGACCACTGAAGTAGAGTGCTCAAGTTTCAGGTTCAGGGTTACGGGTCTGTGGGTTCAGCAGTGGAGCTTGCTAAATTATGTTGTTGCTGTTCATGACGATGATGATGGTGGTGGCGATGATGACATGATGATGATGATGATGATGACGGTGATGGTGATGGTGATGATGATGATGATGATGGTGGTGATGAAGACGATGACACTTACCATACCGATGATGGTATTGATGATGCTGGTGATGATGATGCCGACTATGCTGCTGCTGACGATCACGATGATGGTGATGATCATACAGAAGCTGCTGCTGACGATGTTGATGGTCATGAACATGAGGGTGCAGATGAAGATGATGATAGTTGGTGATGACTGGTGATGGTTGATGATGGTTGAGGATGATGATTCTGATATTACTGATGATGGTGATGGTGATGGTGATGGTGATGGTGATGGCGATGGTGATGGTGATGGTGATGATGATGATGATGATGATGAAGGTGATGATGATGGTGGTCTTGGTGATGGTGAGGAGGAGCCCTAAACCCAAGCCCGAAACCCGAACTCAAGCATGCAAAAACAGGCGGTGATGACTCCTGCACTTGCCCGAAACGCTCGACCAACCTGGCTGGGCATGTTTGAAGTTTGAAGAAGAACCCTGAAAGTATAGGTGCCCTAAGTGGGATCCTAACCGGGGTTATGGTGCTTGAAACTCTTTCGAAGAACTACTTACCGAGTTCCCCGGGATTCCTTAAAGGCATTTAAAATACAGGATTTAGGGTTTAGGGTTTAGGGTCAAGTTTAGGGTTTAGGGATCTATACAGGTTCCTTTATGGGGTTGTAGAAGCGTGTCTAGGATGGGGTCTTGGGCTTCGGATCTGGGGCTAAGGCCTTTAGAGTGTTTGAAAGCTTGAGGGTTGAGGGTTCAAGGTTTAGGGTTTAGGGTTTAGCATCTAGGGTTTAGGGTTTAGGGTTTAAGGTCTAGGGATTCAAAATTTGAGGGTTCAAAGTGCTTCGCAGTTTAAGCAAAATAGCTCCGCATGTCATGGTCTCCTTTTAGGATCCTTATTCTGGTCTTGTGGGGACCCAGATGGGTACAAGTACCTGGCTTAGAGAAGCCCACCCACAAGGGTCCGTAAGAAGAATTCCGGACATCAAGTGGCTTCCTTGACAGGAACTTGAGTTTCCGTGGTAAGAAGACGTTCGACTTGGTTAAGAAAACGTGATGATAAGGTAGCGTTAGGTTCCGAACCTTGACGCCTAAATCCTAAACCCTAAATACTAAACCCCCTAGACCAGAAACCCTAAACCCGAAAACGCCTAGACCCTAAACCGCAAGCCCCCCTTATCAAGAAGCCAGTAAGGTACCTTCAAACATGCATGCCGGGGATACTTCCCAGTCTCTGCTGCTAAAGCATCTCGGAGATTCTCCATCGCTTCCTGCGTTGTTACTATGGCTTGTTTAGGGTTTAGGGGTTGAGGGTTTAGAGTTCAGGGTTTAGGGTTGAGGGATTAGTGGTTACTACATCTTGCTTAAGGCCTAGGGGTGAAAGGTTCGGGGGTTTGGGGTTCAGGGATTAGTCTTTACGGTTTGGGGCGTGGCTTTAGGGCCTTAGGGCTTGGTCCGGGCACTGTCTTCTCTGACACATAAAGACAACATTTAGTTGGCTTCGGGTGACTTGTGTACGTCTCACAACTCAGGTCAGAAAGTCCTGCCCGGATCCTTCAATGCCTCAGCTTGCTCGCAACCCTACTCTCGAAGGCCTTCGAAACCCCTTAATCACCTTAATCCTTGAACCAAACAAACCCCTAAACCCGAAATTCCCTAAATCTCACAATGCGTAGGCCCTGACCCTAAATCCAAGTCCTTGTGGTACTGATAGACCCCATTCTGACTAACCTATAGTTTCTGTCTCCTCTCATGTTTCCGGTAAGACCACAAAGCCTATTGTCTGCCAACACCCTTAACCCAACAAGCAACCTAAACCCTAAACCCCTAAACCCTAAACAATTAAATCCTAAGCCCTAAACTCCTAAACCCTAAACAATTAAACCCTAAGCCCTAAACCCCTAAACCCCTAAACCCTAAACAATTAAACCCTAAACCCCTAAACCCCTAAAGCCCGAAATCCCTAAAGCCCGAAATCCCCGAAGTACCGCCAAGATGGCTCCTGACTTGATGCGGCAACTTCATCCAGTCGGGCCGACAGCTGCGCATCCACGTCTCCCAAGGTCCTTAGAGGAAGGGTCCTTCGACTTTTAGGGTTTAGGGTTTAGGGTTTAGGATCTGAGACTTTTGTGTAAGTATTATCACACTTACCCAAAAGTGTATGGTACTGTAGGTCTGTAGAGGGCCCGAGTCGCCTGTAGCCAGGA